TTATACGTAAGACTGGTCTTCCAGATTGAACGAGATCAACGTCTGTCAGCTTAATTGTGTAATGTTTAGTCCTCAAATTAGAGTTATTGCTATGGTTTTATTGATCAAAATCTTTCACTTCGCAATTTCTTTGATAATGTCTCACAAATTTCATGTAGTCAATTTTAGATACTATCATGCAGACCTGAATTATGCATAACAACTTTTATTGATTCATTTCAAAATTCGACATTTATGCCGTAAATATATTTACCCTCGGCTTCGGAGAGATTCATCACAATCCCAAACAGGATCATGTAAAAGAACATTTCTGATCGATATAAAATGATAAATTTTGACAAGTTGTGCTCAACAAAACCAATGTAAAATAATAAGTTGTACTCGGTGATGATCCCTATTAGTATTAAACATTACAAAAGTTTTAACGTAAAAATCGTGTAAAAAATCTATTTAATCATTTGTCCGAAATGTTTGTTATAAATGAAAAAGTGGTGTCATCTCGGCCCGCTACTTTGAAAACCAACAAGAATTGCGCCCGTTGTTTCGTTTTGGCGGACGCTAAATTTCCGTTCACTATAACTAATACTATAAATATAGGCTCCAATCAGCTCACTTCATAATAATAATATTGACACACATCAGTACACTATACTATAACTACGCATGCCACGTACAAATTGGGCTTATTACCTAATGCTATAATACATTAAATGCATAGTATACATTAAAATTCTCTCGCGCCGCGCATTCATTGACATGCTAGCTATATACATCACATCTCCGCAAGCAATACTCGCGCGCGTCACTGCGCGCTAGTTGTCATGGTTACATACGGAATGACGCCATATTCAGACCCGCCTACTGCCATCTCCAAAATCCACGTTTTTCTGCAAAATCGTCCATTCGTAACCTTTCACTATTGCCTTTTTTCAAAAGGGTGAACGGAAAAAATACCACGATGAGAACGAGTATGTTCAACTTCAAGGGGCGAACGAATGATAAGTAAGTAGAAATTATTCAAGATTTTATTGGGCCCAAGTAATTGCGGACATAGTTCACTATGTGTTTACCGTGTTTGGGTGCCCATCATATTTTACAGATGGGGGCGATATTTTGAACGATTCTATTTTATATTCATTTATTGCTGTACTCTGTAAAATTTGAAAAGTATTTAATAAAGTTAAGAGTATGAATGTGTAGTAGTGCCTAAGAAGACTGGCCATTAAGTGTAAAATTTAAGGTAGACTTCAAAGTTCAAGGTTAGGTTAGGGTTAGGGTCCCTATAGTGACAGAGTCTAATCCTAACCCCACAAAAGTCTACCCCAGAGCCTACCATACCATCATTGGTTTGGGCTCCAAGAGCGACCATCAAGTTCAACCTAATGACCGTCCTGCTCGCTGCGTCTTAGGTATCAGTTCTCGAAGAGATCACGTGAAACAAGAGTGTTAAAGCAAAGTGTTAATTTATGCGACCGTGCATGGACCGCACGTCGGTAGATAAATATTACGAAGTTGTAAAATCTTTAAGACTGTTCAGTCCGTGATTTTGCAACGTGGCTCTTGACGGAATAATACTTAATTTGATGTATTTTATTTTTTGCATTTTGCAGCGAGGTGGTGGGGAAAAGGAGAAAACACAGGAGAAAACACATTTTATTACGAATGTTTTGACTGGGCTTGCTGAAGAGTCGAAGGCTGAAAGCTCATAAAAACCATACTCAATGATCGGTAAAGCTTCTAGAACTTTCTAATTCTATCACAAAACAGAGCGACCAGTTTGTCTAATGGCATCATCCTGCTCGCTGCGTCGTTGGTAATAGTTCTCAAAGTTATCACGTGACTGAAACAAAGTGTTAGCCAGCCAGCCAATCGTTTTCCAGGACACTAATTCTAAATCGTTTACGAGGTCAACTAGAAGATTTTCCTAATGTACCCGGTTAGGAACCGACCGGAATGGACTTTTGGCTGCCGGACCAGATTTTGCCGGATATCAATCTATTATCCGGTTAGCCGGATTTTGCCGGACCGGAACCGGTTGTTAGGAAGGGCAAATATAAGGTTGCCGAAACTTGCCGCAATGTGCCGGATCTTGCCGGAAAATTTTAATTTATCCTTATTATTGGGCTTTTGTCATTATAATCAACTATGATATTAATCCTACTAAGCCATAGTTTGTAATTTAAATAACACGATAAGTTCCGCATTCCTAAGGGCAAATTAATACAACCACACCGATGAATGATGATGTTTCCTGTTTAGGCCTAGCAGTAGACATTCACATAGGTAAAATATCAAATCAACAAGCTGCAAGCAGTACGTTGTAACCACTACCAGAGTAAACAAAAAGTAACAAGATCAGACTAAACAAGTTATTATCAGAAATGATATGCAACTGGCATATCCTACCTCATGAGCGCAATTGGGCTGCACGACTTAGGGGACCCCCAATTATTAGGGGTCCCTCGGTGATCAGATCATGTCACCAATTAGTGACGTATAATTAGTTATGTGATCCATCAGTAGAATTTAATTTTAAATTTCCCACACACACACACAGATTTATTGAGATTATTGCTTAAGATATTTATAAGTATAATCACTGATTTTGTTAATTAACGGACTAACATCGCTCGCTCGCTTTTCCCAATAATTCACGGCCTACAAATAATTTATATTTGGCGAATGAATTTACCAAGGGTTTAAGATCTTAAAGAGTTAAGAACAGCTGGCCACGCACCACAGCTTGAGCTAGGCACTAGGCAGTGATTACAGTGATAACTGTTGATTGACCCTTCCAGATCGTAGAGGTCTGCAACACATGCTCGCTTTGCACATGCATTGTTTTTATCTCTCTATGACTATAATAATAAAGTAATAAGCAATTTAAAGTCTTGTCCGTAGCCCGCTCGTCGCACGTGCATTAATTATGAGTAATTAAGCTTGCATGTTGTAGCTTATTAATTATTATTATATATTTTACCAAACCCCATAATTGGGTAGCCGTAGAGTGGTCGAGTGGACCATTGCCAGTGTCTCCCTTTAGCAAACAAAAGGAAATGATATCAGTTGAAATAACGGTTCTCAAAAGCAAAATGATACCGAGAATGAAATCGGTCGCTACAGCAGAGAGAATTGAGAGAATTGTCTGAGAGGGAGAGATAGCACAGACAGGGACACTTCGTAGGAAGTTTGTGTTTGCAGCACTGCCAGGCATCTGTGAGGCGGGCTGAATCCTTGTCCTTCTTCCGAAAGTAGATGTATCCATCAGAGTCAAGTAGCTTTTGAGATCCTGTCCGACCAGAGTTGAATTTGGAGAAGGTAGGCATGTTTATGGGAGAACCACCCCCATCAGCAAGAGTTCCCGCCCCTTATGTGATCTACGAGTCGAGCAGACAAATCTTAAAGATCATGTTTACTTCTTAATGTACAGCTATGATGTACAGAATTGACATGTGAACTCTACCCTATATCTAGCACATTTCTTCTAGGAGGAGACCTTCATGGTAAGGTCTCCTCCTAGTCGTTGGAGTGGCCTGCATCACACACATCGCGTTGGCGGCGTAACATATGTCTCCACTGTACTCGGTTGGAAGCCAAAGCTTCTGTTGTGTTGTTGTCGATGTTTTCAACACCTGTAAACTTAGCAGCATCTTCGAGTACGCAGGACTTCCAGTTCTTACGGGGTCTGCCCCTTGACCTCTTTCCATAATTTGGCTTCCAGTTCAACAGAAACCTCGGTAGTCTAGAGTCTGGCATTCTAACTACATGTCCATACCAACGTAGCCTGGCAGCACTGATGAAAGTCTCAACAGACTTGATGCCAGCCCTCCTAAGAACTTCGTCGTTGGTCACATGAAAGAACCATTTAATCCTAAGGATCCTTCTCAAGGAGGTTTGATGGGAAACCTCGAAGCGTTTCATCTGCTTTTTGGTGGTGTTCCAGACTTCAGCTCCATACAACAAGATGGTGAGGACAGTAGCCCTATAGATCCTGATCTTGGTTGGAGTCTTTATAGTTCTGCTATTCCAAATGTTCCAGAGCTGATGAAAGGTTCCATTAGCCTTCTAGATACGGACATCCAGGTCTCTGTTGATTGTCCCATCCCCACTGATAGTTGCACCCAGGTAGACAAAGTTGCTAACCTGCTCGACGGGTTCACCCTCAACCGACAGCTCAATACAATCATCCTTGATGAACGGTCGCTGGGAGGCGCACTTGCTTACAGCCATGCATTGGGTCTTCTTTGCATTTATTCTGAGCCCAGCGTAGGAGCTGTAATGAACTAATAGATCAGTTGATTCCTGTAGGCCTTCCCCTGAGTTGTCCATAATAGCCATGTCATCAGCATAATCGGTGTCCAGAATGACCTTTTCCTCGACCGTCTTCATCTCTTTCTGCAGCACTGCGCCTTGACTGATGATCTTGTTGGTCTCAGCCAGAAATGCAGAAAAATTTAGGCAGAAATTAAAGACAGGAGGTGCTTGAATGTCACCCTGACCTGTGCCTGAGTTAACATCAAACCAGTCTGTCAGCTCCCCATTAACCCTCACGGCACTCATGGTACCCCCAAAAAATGACTGAAATATTCTGACATATTTTTCAGGCAGCCCATAGTGTCTCATACTGCACCAAATAAAGTCCCTTCTGATAGAATCGAACGCTGCCTTGAAATCGACAAAATTAATGTAAGGATGAATGTTAAACTCAAGACAGTTATGAATAATAGTTCGGAGAGAATAAATCTGATCAATACATGAGCGGTTCTGTCTAAATCCGCACTGATTCTCCCTGAGAAGACACTCCATACCAGCATGTAACCGCTTAAGAAGAATCATCTGAAAAAGCTTGGATGCTGTAGACCTTAAGGTGATCCCTCTGTTGTTCCCGCAGACTGAAGTGTCTCCTTTCTTCCCAATAACAATGATCACACCCTTTAACCAATCTTCAGGAACAGTCTCTTCTTCCCACACTTTCTTGAATAGACACTCTAGTTGATCAACTAGAGCACTCGCACCTTCAGTTGCTCGTTAGTTATCCCGTCCACTCCTGGGCTTTTGTTGTTCTTAAGCTTTGTCAGGGAATAACTAATCTCGTCTCTGGTGGGTGGTCCATCCGAACAAGAGAGAGAGTTAAAGTGGGGTTGGGGTGGTACTGTATCAAGGTCGGCAAGGTCAACACTTGATAATGGAGGGTTCAGAAGTTCAGTAAAGTGCTCCTTCCACCTATCCCTCTGCTGTTGGGGATCCGCGATCTTCCTACCGTTCTTGTCCCGGACACAAGATGCTTGAGGCTTCTTGTTCTTACCAGAGATCTTCTTGATCTTTGCCCATACTTCACGCTGCTGACCTTTGCTCGCTGCTTCCTCAAGATCAGTAGCTACTCTAACTGCCCAGTTATTGTCGTCTAGCTTGCTGCTTTTCTTGACTAACTTATTAAGTTTAGAATACTCTGACCTGTTAGCGTCCGAGTTTGGGTCTTTGCGCTTAAACTGTGCCCGCTGAATCAATAAATCCTTGGTCTTCCGTGACAGGTGTTGCTCCTTTGCCTTCCGGGGTCTTTTGCCTAGTACCTCCAGTGAGACATCAGTGACGGTCTGACTGAGATTACGCCACATATCCTCGAGGTCGACCTCACTATCCAGACTTGCAAATCGGTTTTGAAGAGCCACATTGTACTCTGTAACCGTATTACTATCCCTCAGGCGCTCAATGGCAGGCACATTGGGCCTGTTGGCGTTGATCTTAGTCACTGACTGAAGTTTGATTTTCAGCAGTCCTAGAACCAGATAATGATCGGAGCCGATGTCTGCCCCGCGACATACCCTAACATCAAAAAGTGACTGACGAAACCGCTTTCCAATGCAGATATGATCTATCTGATTGACGGTGAGCCCGTTGGGGGACCGCCATGTTCCTTTGTGAATGTTCTTGTGCTCGAAGAGAGTTCCCCCGATGACAAGCTGGTTCGTCGCACAGAAATCCACAAGTCTTGTCCCGTTGTCATTTGATGAGCTATGGAGTGATTCCCCACCGATGACCGCTTCACTTCCATATTTGCCTGATGTTACTTTTGCATTAAAATCGCCGAGCAGTAACTTGATATCGTGACGAGGTAGCCCATCAAATGTATCTGTGAGTGTCCTATAAAACTTATCTTTCTCACTCTCCTCTGCACCCTCAGTTGGAGCATAGGCCACAACAACAGAGATGCTGATTTGCTTACTATGCAGCCTAGCAGTTAAAACCCACTCCGATGTGGGAGTGAACGATATCAGGGAGTTTCTGATTCGTTTTGAAAGACTGAGACCGACTCCCTGTCTCTTGATCCCGTCGACTCTACCGGAATGGATGAGTAGACTGCCATTGTCCAGTAGAGTGGTGCCAGATCCAGGCATGTGAGTCTCGGTGATCCCCAAAAGATCCAATCTGTACTGATTAATGTTTTGACTAAGTTGGTAGAGCTGTGTAGATGAGCTGACAAGAGATAGAACGTTCCATGTTCCAAAACGTAAAAACTGTTTGCAATAATTGACTGGATTGGATTTGTTGGAAGCAGGGTCGACATGGATGATCTGTTGACTAATAAATCTGGTCGGATGACGAGTACCCCCTCTTCTCATCAGGCGACTGGGGTCCCGTAGGCTTTGCCCAGCCTCCGTCATGCTGGAACCATCCGTCCTTGAATTGGAAGTAGCACTCCGTCCATTTGATGTGTGTGTTGTTTCAGTAGCGTTGTTATTTGAGGTGGAAGGGATGCTGGCCCTTCGCACCCGATGAACCGCATGCAGTCCTAACGAGACAGATGTCCCGGTTATAATTTTCGACCTGTACTGGTCTAGAGCCGCAGTGTTCTGTTACCGTTCACCTGTTTTAACTGGAATCACCCAGAACAGGCTACTAAGCTTAACAGTGGCACCTCGAGAAGGGTGTGGCTCTTCACCACGCACTACAGATCATGGGATCGGAGAGGTTGTGTAAGACACTTCACGAGCCCCTGGAGTTTGGAAAACCCCTTATCCACCATTTCTAGGTCAATTAAATTCTACTGATGAATCATATCACAAATTATACGTCACTAATTGGTGACATGATCTGACCCCTGATAATCGGGGGTCCCCTATGTCGGCCTCCCCGCGATTGCACGTCTGAGACACAGTTGTTCCCTTTTTGTCATGCTGCAGGTCTGAATATCAAAGCACAATAGTTCCCGATTCAGGGCATAATTGTACCTTTTTAGTATGCTGGCATATTTTATCACTGGATCGTTTAAATTACTAGACAGCAGTCTGCTGTCTGTACAATAATTGACTCGGAGCCAAAACTGGATCATAGACATAATAATAAAATGTGATAAAGAGCATTACTATTAACGGGTGATACTCGTAAAATATTTGTTCCATATACAGGACCGTCGACGAGTCCAACTCGGCGCGCGTCCTGGTAGGTTGTAAACCTACAAGCATTACTACTACTACTACTAGAGCTACTGTTCGGTCTAAGGTTCGGTTTTCCTGGTAATCGTACTGTAGTGCGACACGTACTCTAGTGCGACACGTACTCTAGTGCGAAGTCCGAAAAAAACACCCTCTGTCGCACTACAGTACGTGTCGCACTACGATCCAGGTAGCGTACTCTAGTGCGACAAAATATCCTGACTTATTTTCAAGTTCAGGTCACATCCTATCCTTCTTATGGACCAATAAGTGATTCGTCGGGTCGGTTCACGTCACTTATTTCGAAGTGATCTTGCGAATACGATTCGTCAGTTCACATCACGTGTTTCGAAGTTATCCACTGATCATAATTCCTTCGGGTCAGTTCAAGCCACGTATGCAGTGTGTGATCCACTGGGTTACTCTTAAGCAGCATATGATCCTCATTCCGACATTCCTATCTCACGCATCGTATGAAGGTATATCTCCGATTGGGATAACAAGTTCATATGCTTGGGCCATAAATAAGGTCACGATGATTCTACAAAAACATCGAACAACATCAACGTGTCTTCTTCAATCACCTTCATTCCTGGACACACTACTGGTTCAAGAAACGTTATCCACGACGGATACCGCTACTGCCTGGATAAGAATCGCGACGACAAGTCCTACTGGCTATGCACTGAGAAGACCTGCTCCGGACGTCTCAGTCTGACGAACAACACTACTGTGACCTGGACGCAGCTGAAAGCAACCCTTCCCTCGAAGATGGGCTGCACCAACCCTACTATCTGGCGATTTATCGACGTCCTGAAGAAGGAGCAGGATCTAACCCAATGGAAGATCAACCAGAAGAATGAAGATGCTCAGACAACTACCTCCTCGCCGACTGAAGAAGTGGACTGATTACGACCGTCGCTTGAACGCTGTGAGTGATAGCTACGATGATTATGACAGAATGGATTAGTTGAAGTGTGTTGGAACAATGATTTTGAATTGAATATTGTGATTGCAATCTTTGATTTTATATTTAACCCCATTACTCAAACACTCTTGTCATTAAAAATGGAAAGTAAAATTTTTATTGAATGTGCAAAGTGTTTTGTCGCACTTTAGTTCGTGTCGCACTACAGTCCAGGTAGCGCACTGTAGTGCGACAGTGTCGGCCTTGAAAATTCTCTGTCGCACTAGGGTACGTGTCGCACTACGATCCAGGTAGCGTACTCTACTGCGACAGTGTCGATCTTGGAGGTTTCGCACTAGGGTACGTGTCGCACTAGAGTACGTGTCGCACTACAGTACGTGAACCGGTTTTCCTCTATACTACATATGTTTTGGACTCGAGGCTTCCCCATGGTAATGCGATCTCGGAAGGCAGACGTCCCATTTGCAACACGAGCTCGGAAGCTCTCGATACGAGAGGTACGTATTCGAGAATGACTGGGACCGAAAATTTTCTAAGTCAAAACCACTTTTCTCCACGTTTCATGCTACCCTGTTCATTATTATCCGAAAACATTTTTTCGGCTTTTTGCATTCGATTTGATTTGAAACTTTTACAAAATAGCAAATATACAAATGTACAGCAAGTCGAACAAACATATAAAATGGGCCGAAATGTATAAATGCTATAAAGCGTGGGTCAGTGAAACAAGTACAGAGGACAACTTTCAAAACAGGAGTTTTATGGCCGCCCAAAGTCTCAATAACATCACCTCCACCTAGTAATAAAATTATGAAATATGAAAAGTGTGAAACAATCAAATAATAAAATATTCAAAATATATAGTTGTCTCTTAAATACAGATAACGTCTGAAAATTCTTAAAATAATCATCACTCCTTCATATACTGATCAGTGTCCGAGAGTGTAACTCATGATGACTTCTTATCACGGCTACATACCTTCCCGTACCGGATGTAGTGGTCGAGATGAGTCTGTTCCGCCCTCTTCTTCTTCAGGTCAGTGACCAGATGCTTCCTTGTTGCTCGTTCTTCGCTGGATCTGTCTGGACATATCCATACATCTTTGTGCGTCTCCCTCAGTCTCCCTGTTTTCATCAGAATCTGATGAACCGCTGTTGAGCTTGGGACGGTGATCTTGACTGGTCGGATAGCCGTACTACCTGGCCTCTTCCAACCGACTCTAGTCGCTTCGAAGTGAGGTTTCTCCCCGATCTCCTCCAAAACTGCGGTAACTAGCGCTGGAAGCTGTTCTTCCTCCTCTTCTTTCAGCCCAAACACGATCAGGTTCTTGCTCCTGTCATCCTCTGCAGCCACACTCTTCATCACCTTCTTCAGGATTTTACTGTTGCAGACCGTACCACTTGCACTGTTCTGTTGAACAGCTGCACTATAGTTCTGAATCCCTGACTCCACCGTTGTTTGGACTGTCTCCTCAACAGACGTCTTAAGCAACTGTAGTTGTTCGTCCTTCTGCATCAGCAGCTGGCCCTGCAGTCTGATCACCTTTTCTTTGTCTGCTAGTGCTTCCGTCTTGAAGCACTCGATGATCTCCTTCAAGAGATACATCTGACTACTCTGCCGACGAACAAGGTCCACTGCAACCACAATCCATCTAGACAGAGTCTGTTTATCCTTAGTCTTGATCTTTTCACGACTTTCGTAGTCAATTTCACGGTAGTCCATATGCAGGTCTTTTTCTAACTGATCGGACCAGCGTGCAACACAGCCTTCCACATCTTCCTGTTGATCATAGTTGAACTCTTTAATCAACTCCTGGGATCGGGTCAAAGTTGGGTCATCCCCCATAGTGTACTTGTATAGTAATGTACAAGTACACACGCAAAGGTAAACTGCGTTGACCTAGTCAAAACATTTTTTTTCGAGTTTAAAATGTAACGAAAATATGCATTTCAAGATTTTAGAAATAAATTTTTTAGAAATATCCGGCAAAAATCCGGCAAAATTTTTTGAAACCGAACCGGAGCCGAAACCGAATATTAAAGCCGGATATCCGGCCGGATCCGGATTCAGCCGGATATCCGGTCGGTTCCTATACGTAATCACCCTCACCCCTCCGTAATCAGTTTTATACATAGCTATTGTGTCAAAATTACACTATCATAGTGTAAATGTTATCATTTGGAAACCCCCTCCCCCTCGAGGCTGATTACGTAATATGTGAACGACCCCAAACTGCAAATAATATGAAAACAGAGTACGCCATTAATTTTTTCCTTTTCACCCTTTTGTAAAAAGGCAATAGTGAAAGGTTACGAATTAATTGACGATGTCAATTCATGGCAGCTCGGCGCGGCACAGTAGCGCATCTCGCCGATCTAGCCAGTAACGCATCGCGCTACAAGGTTATTACGAATGGACGTTTTTGCAGAAAAACGTGGATTTTGGAAATAGCGGTAGGCGGGTCAAATATATGTCGTGTTCCTTGCTTGCTTGCTTCCGTTCGTTACCATGTCAATTTGCCGCGCGCACGCGCGCGAGGATTGCTTGCGGAGATGTGGTGTATAGCTAGTCTGTGGTCAATGAATGCGCGGCACGATCGTATTTTAATGTATATTATGTAATGTATAGTATTTTGTGATAAGCCCAACTTGTACGTGGCACGCGTAGTGTACTGACGTTTCAATATTATTATTATTATAAGGTGAGCTGATTATAGCTTATATTAATAATAATAGTTATAGTGAAATGGAAATCTAGCGTCCGCCAAAACGAAACAACGGGCGCAATTCTTGTTAAAATAATGGCTGCTTATAAATATAACCGATTTTTCTTCACATAAGGATCAACTGAAATGGGGGCAAGAAAAGCTTCTAGAATGATGCAATTCTACGAGCAATATTGTCATACATGTATTATGAATATGATGATTTAGCGAATTCACGTGAATTATAAAAAATACCACTTTTTTAAATGTAATGATAATTATTTATTATAATTATAATGTTACTTCAATTCAAATACAATAATACTGCGTTACAAATTTTCTAATCGTTAAGCTCTAATCATAGCTTCTCATTGCCGCAACCACGGTGTTGTCACTTACCAATACCTGGGGACCCCAGGCTATAATGTTCCGAATACAGGCTGAGCGCCGCTTAATAATATTGTCACATTTACAATTAGTTAGCAGCAAATTAGCAAATTCGGTGGTAAACGCAGATTCCCGCAATTTCATTCTCATTGCTTCTCGTAGTCGTTCTCATTGCTTCTTAGTTCGTAAACTTGGCCACATCATGTATATTTGACAGCTTCATAATGCTTCATTTTTCAAAATGGTTCCTCCGATAACCTTTAGATTCTGAATTCTTCAACAGCGAGATCGTAACTGCTAGTACAATAATTCAGATTGCTGTTGATCGGACTTAAGAAAGCAACTGCTTCAAGTGTCAGTAAAGCTAGGGTCACACACACGTCACAAAACACCGGTCTCACTGATAGGGTTACAGGTCATCATCTTGATGAACTCTTCGTAGTCTATCAGACCATCACCGTTCAGATCAGCTTCACGGATCATGTCCTCTACCTGCCAAACATACTGATTATTATCTGGATTATTCATTTTCTGTTCTTGTTTATTTGTTCAGTGATGGGGTCATTGTAAAAACATACTGATAATTATCTGGATTATTAATTTCCTGTTCTTGTTTATTTGTTCAGTGATGGGGTCATTGTAAAAACATACTGATAATTATCTGGATTATTCATTTTCTGTTCTTGTTTATTTGTTCAGTGATGGGGTCATTGTGATCGTTGAAACCTGCTGGTTCCATAATATGCATATATAACTAGATAATTATACAGGACGTGGCATTTTAAAGGATACTAGTCAATGAACGGGTTTACAAAGGTTCAGCTACAAATCTCTAATCACCTGATCCATTGGTAAGTTCTCCCCCATGTTAGAAAGAATGGTCTGGAGTTCCACCGCATCAATATAACCGTTGTTGTCCTGGTCAAACACCTTGAACGCATCCTTGAGGTCGTCTTCTTTTTGGGTACCGTACTTTATCATTAACTGGAACTCGAAAACTTTTTGGAAGAAGTTATTTTTATTTTTAAAACTCAAACCTCTGTAACTTTTTTCCTAGAGTACTTTCTTAACTCAAATTTGAAAATCTACTGAATACTTTTTCATTAAAAGGGCAAACTTTTTAAACTTTTTAGAAAACTTTTCTTTAATGGCAAAATTTTAAACTCTTCTAAGAATATTTACTTTAATCAGAACTCTAAACTTATCGGAGAAATTTTTAAAATTTAACGGGGCAAAAAACCTTTTTAACTCTATCTGAAAAATATTTATCTTAACTCCCAAAAAACTCTGTAAAACTTTCAAAATACTTTAAAACTTTAAAAATTTTGGCAAACTCGAACTCTAAGGAAAAAAATTTACAAAAAACCCCAAACTCTGAAAAATTATCGGAAAAGTATTTATCTTAAAACTGCAGAATCTGAAAACTCTATCTGAGAGAAGTATTATTCTTTAAAGGCAAAAAACCCCTGAAAACCTATCTGGAAAAAGTATTTTCTTAACTCAAACTCTGAAACTCATCGAAAATTATATATAATTGAACAGAACTCGTAAACTCTATTGAGAGATTTTCATTAACGGCAAACTTTTAAAACTTATTAAAAGTCTTTATCTTTAACGGGCAGAACCTTAAAAACTCTATCGGGAAAGGGGTCTTTTTCTTTAAAACGGGCAAAACTCGTAAACTCTATCGGGAATTAAAATCTTAAATTGAAATCGAACCCTTCTGAGAAAATTTTATTTTAAATGCAAACCCCTGTAACTCTATTGGAGAGTATTTATAATTAACTGGCAAACTCAAAAAACCTATTAAAAGTACTTATCATTAATCAAAACCTTAACTCTATCGGGGAAGAATTCTTTATCTTTAAAGGAGAACTCTGTAAACTCTCGGGAGAAATATTTACATTAACGGGCAAATCTGAAAATTATTGAAAAAAGTACTTTTTTTATTATTGAGAACCCCTTTAAAATATTATCAAGAAATTTTTCAAACGGGCGAACTCTGTAAAACCTTTTGGGAAAAGTACTTTTTCTTTTAAAAAACCTGAAAACCTATCGGGAGGAATATTTAAAATATTAATCGAATCGAAACCTATCTAGATTTTTTTTAAATCTTAATGGCCAGAATCTTAAACTCTATTAAAAAGGGGAATACTTATTTTTTCTGGCAAACCTTAAATCTATTGGAGGGACTTTATCTTTAAAACTGGCAAAACCTGAAAACTATCGGAAAAATTTTATCTTAAGGAAAAACCTGAAAAACTCTACTGGAAAATACTTTATCTTAACTGGCAGAACCTGAAAAACTTTTTGGAAAAGTATTTTTCATTAACGGCAGAAACCCGAAAAAATTTTTGGAAGGAAAAGTATTACAAAAAGGGCAAAACCCTTTTAAAATCTTTTGGGAGAAAGTATTTTTAATTTTAATGGCAGAACTCTGTAAACTCTATCTGAAGAAGTCTTTAAAAATTATTTCAAACCCCCGAAATCTACGGAAGAATATTTTTCATTAACTCAAACTCTGTAAACCAAATTTTAATTAGAATTTTTTTTTCATTAAATTTCAAAAAAACTCTGTAACTCTTTTGGAAAAATATTTATCTTTAACTCGAACCTGAAAAACTCTATCTAGAGAATACTTTATCATTAATGGAAACCTGTAATCTATCGGGAAAAGTTTTTATAAAATTTAAACGGCAAACCTGAAACTAAAATGGGAGAGAGTATTTTTTCTTAGGGAAAAATCTGAAAACTCTTTCTTGAGAATATTTTTAACTTTAATGCAAACTCGTAAATTATCTGGAAGAAGTACTTTATCAAAAACGGGCAAATCTGTAAACTCTATCTGAGGAAATTTAATTATCAATCTGTAAACTCTTCTGGGAGAAGTCTTTTTTTCATTAAGGGCAAAACCTTGAAACCAATTGGAGAAAAACTTTTATTAACTGGCAAACTCTGAAAAACCTATCTGGAGGGAAGTACTTTATCATTAATGGAAACCCTTTTTAAACCCTTATCTAACTAGAATACTTTATCTTAACTGGCAGAACCTGAAAACTCTATTGGGAGAAGTACTTTTCTTTAAACTGGCAAAAAAACTCTGTAAACTCTTTTGGGAGAAGTATTTTATTTTTAACGGCAAAACTCTGTAAACTCTTTTTGGGAAAATATTTATCTTAACGGGCAAACTCTGAAACTCTACAGGAAGAAGAACTTAAATCTTTAAATCAAACTCTGAAACTTATTGGGAAGAGTATTTTACATTAACTGGCGAACTCTTAAAACCTTATCTAAAATACTTTATCATTAACTGGCAAACTCTGAAAATCAAAAATTTCGAGGTCTTTTATTTGGGAACTTTAAACCCCTTTTCGGGAAAATTTACTTTTCTTTAATTTGGCAAAAACCTGTAAATCTATCGGGAGGAAGTCTTTTCTTTAACTGCAGAACTCTGTAAACTCTTTGGAAGAAAATTTTAATCTTTACTGCGAAATCGTAAACTCATCGGGAGAATATTTATCATTAATGCAGAACTCTGAAAACTCAAAATTTTGAGAAATATTTTATCATTAATGGGCAAATCTTAAACTTACTGAAGAATACTTTTATAAAAAAAAGGAACCCCGTCTCTACGGGAAGAAGACTTTTCTTTAACGGAAAAAATCGTAAACTCTATCGGGAGAGAATACTTTACTTAACTGCAAACCTGTAAATCTATCGGAGAAAAAAGTACTTTATAATCAAAAAATCTAAACTCTTTTTTATTGGAGAGGACTTTATCATTAACGCAGAACTCTGAAAATCTATCTGGAGATATTTTTATCATTAACTGCAGAACTCTGAAAAACTCATCTGGAGAAAGTACTTTATCTTTAAACTGGCAGAAAAATTTTAAAATTCTTTTGGAGAAATATTTTATCTTTAACGGCAGAACTCTAAAAATCATTAAAAGAAGTACTTTATCATTAACTGGCAGAACTCTGAAAACCTATTGGAGAGAATATTTTATCATTAATGCAAATCTGAAAAACCTATCTAGATACTTTATCTTTAACTCAGAACCGTAAATCTTCGGGGGAAAAGTACTTTATCATTAAGCGAACTCTGTAAACTCTATCTGGAGAAGACTTTAAAAATAATGGCAGACTCTGTAAATCTTCTGGAGAAAAACTTTATCTTTTTAAAACCTGCCAGAAACTCTTAAACCTTTCTTCGGGAGTGAATACTTTTTTTAAAAATTAAAATCAAAAAAACTCCTTAAAAACTCTAAATTTCTGGAGAAAAATTTTATTTTTATCATTAACGGGCAAACCGAAAAATCTTCTGGAAGTATTATCATTAAGGAAAAAAATTTTAAAACTCTATCGGGGTAAGTTTTACATAAAGGCAAAAACTTTTAAAACTCTATCTGAGAAGTACTTTTCATTAACTGGCAGAACCTGTAAAACTTATCGGGAGAGAATTTATCATTAACTGGCAAATCGAAAACTCTATCGGAGGGAAATCTTTTCAAAACTGGAAACCTTAAAAACTCATTGGAGAGATTATTTTTAACGGCAAATCTGTAAACTCTATCGGGAGAAGTATTTTATCTTTAAACTCGAATCGTAAACTCTATTGGAAGATTAATTTAACGGCGAACTCTGAAACTCTATCGAGGAAGTTTTATCATTAACGGGCAAATCAAAAACTCTATCGGAAAGTATTTTTATTAATTCAAAACTGGCGAATCTGGGAAAAAAAAAACCTACAGGAAAAGAAAATTTTATTTTTTCTGACCGCTTTAAAATTAAAATCTAAAAAAATTTTTTTTCATTAAAAAAACCTTTTAAATCTATCTGGAGAGAAGGGGTACTTTTTTTCTTTCTGGCGAAATGTCCTCTATCTGGAGAGAATACTTTTCATTAACCCAATCTTAAACTCTATCTGGGGGTTTTTTAAAATTTTAAAAGAAACCCCTGAAAAATTTTTACTGGAAGAAGAAATTTTTTTATTTTTAAAATTTCCAAAACCTGAATCAAATTAGAAATCTTTTATATTTAACTGAAAAAAAATCTGTAACTCTATTGGATATTTTTTAAAAACTGACAAAATTTTTGTAAACTTATCTAGAAAATACTTTATCATTAAAACTGGCCAAAACTCTGAAAATCTATTGGGGGAAATTTTACTTTATCTTAAATGCACGCCTTAAACCCTATTTGGAAAATTTTTTACATTTCGAACTTGTAAATCAAATTAAGGGGGTACTTTATCATTCGGCGAACTCGTAAACTCTATTGAGAAAGGACTTTTCATTAATCAAAACCCTTGAAAACTCTATCAAAATATCATTCGGGCAGAACTTTTAAAACTCTACTAATACTTTATTTTAAACTGGCAGAACCGAAACCCTATTGGAGTAGACTTTTTTTCATAATTTTAAAAACCTCTTAAACTCTTGGGAAGAAGTACTTTATCTTTAACCTTTGCAAAACTCTTAATCTTTAGAAAATATTTTTATCTTTAAAATGACAGACCTGTAAATCTACAAGAGTATTTTAAAATCTTAACGGGCAAACTCGTAAACTCATCGGGAAAAGTACTTTTTTTTTCATTAACTCAGAACTCTAAAAAACTTATCTAGATACTTTTTCTTTTAACTCAGACCTGAAAATTTTTCCCTATCTTGAATACTTTTTTTTAATCAAAAACCCAAAAAACTCAACTCTTTTGAAGAAGTACTTTTATCTTAAACGGGCAGAACCTTAAACTCTATCGGAAAAAAATATTTATCTTAATTTTGGCAGAACTTGTAAACTCTATCGGGAGAATATTAAACTGGCAAACTCTTTAAAACTCATCTGGAGATTTACTTTATATTAACGGCAAAAACTCGAAAAAACTCTATTGGGAAGTACTTTTTCAAAATAAAAGAAAACTCTAAAAAAAACCCTATTGGAGAGATTTTTTTTTCTTCTGGCGAATCTGTAAACTCAAAA